TGACTGCGTTTAATTAAGTAAAAGTAATTTAAAAATATATATTTTCAGGTTCTATTTTATTAAATTCTTTTTAAAATGATATATCATAACCAACATTTTTCTTAAAAAAGCAACAAAAAAACTTCTACAAAATTGTAATTTTTAGCCATATTTCGTTTGTTTTAGACAAAAATATACCGTGTTATATATCAAACAAAAGGATTTTAAATTTTCTTTTAAATGACAGCTAAAATAGTAAACAATCTCAAGAATTTTTGCTGTATTTTGCAAACATCATATTTTGTTATGAGATTTTTAAGTATTAAGATCCACATTACAATTGAATCGACGAGAATAAGAACATTACAAGTCCACAAATTTAATTTTGACAATTTTAAAATTTAAAATACATTTTTGTGAGAATATATAAATTATTTTACAGAGTATAAATATTATATTTCATAATATAGTTAAAATATTTTGACAAAAGTGCATTTTACTTTTTTTTTAATTACTGTTACTTATTAACTAAACAGTTAACATACTTTTTCTTAAAATATAAATATAACATCATTTGATTTTGGCCTAGTTTTTTAGCCAAATCTATCGACGCATTTTTTTAAATTAAATTAAAAGTGTGCTGAAATTTATACTTGTATATATATGTACCTCAGATATTTACAAAAGTAGTAATTTTACCTCAAAAAACTAGTCAATATAACTTTTTTCTTATTTTTTAAGTAGTAAAGAGTTGTTTTTATTTAATTAAAGAAATTCATTTTCACACTTTATTTCTCCCAAAATTTTACAAAAAACCTCCTAAATTCCTAAATAAAATTTGTAATTTAGCCGTGGGAGCCCTGTTAAAGTTTAGTAAATTTAAATAATTAAAATCTCTAACTTGTCTTGATTCTACTATTATTTTATTATTTGTATTAAATTCTAAAATTTGGGGCATATGATCTGAAACTGCGGCTTTCATAACTGTACAATTATTAACAGCAAAGTTTACGAACATATTATCTATGCAGCTATTTCTTGCATGCATATTACGTGTTGGTTTATCAATTGTTTTTTTAGTCCATACTGTGTCATGAGATTTAACAACGATTTTGTATGATTGCCTGCTTGCGTCCGCAAAATCAACATTAAAATCCCCCAGAAGTATTTTGGAGTTTTTATAACTTTCAGTTAATTTTAGAGTTTTGTCTAGAATTTCAATAAAGCGTGTAAATTTTTTTCCAATAAGTTTATTAACTATTATGCATTTACAAATAATCTCTAACAATGCCTAATATAATTTAAATTTGATAATAGAAAAATAATCATAATACATATTTAATGAAGAAAAAACATAATAATAAAGTAAAATTAATAAATATCCCTAATTTCTTCCCACATCAATAATAATTATTATGATTGACATTAACATTTGCAAATAGGTGTCTGCAATTGACGAATAGATATTGTTTAGTGTAGCTCTAGAGGGCAGTGGTGGGAGAGTTTCCAGTCTATGGGGGGTATTATCTTTCGGGGGTAAAGCGCATTAAAACAAACATTTTTTGCCTTATAACATATGTTCGCAAATGAGCCGTTCGCAAATGAGCCGTTTAGGCAATACATGCCAGAAACATACATATATAATTTATCCAAATACTTATTGTAGTAAGTGTATTGAAATGGCATTTCAAAATTGGAAAAGAAATCAGCGGTTTCCAAATAATTAAAAAAAAAACGGAGAACCTGTCAAAACCAAAAATCTTTATAACTTCGGTATTCCTGTGAATTTTGAAAAAGTAAGTTTTATATGAAACAACTCTACACAGTGTCCCTCAACTAAAAATGGGTCACATGAAAATGACACCCTAAAACGACTTCAGATTCCATTAAAAACTCGAGAAAGGATTATCAATATACAACCAATAAAATCCTAGCTGATCCTTCCCTTTCTCTTTATACAATTATACTTGTTGCATTTCTTTATTGGAAAAAAAGTGTAAAACACAGCACCAATTTTATAAACTTACAAATTTATTGAAACTAAATAAAAAACACAATTAAAAGTTACTAAAAAATATTATATAACTTATATAACAAATTATTTAAGATTACAAGATTATATTAAAGATGTCGAGACGAAAATTCAACTGCCTTTTTTAGCTGGAATCTGTAGCTAAGATGATGATTAGGTTTATTTTATGTCGACTGCTATATTTTAAAAACTCCCTATGAATAGACTCCCCCGGTTGTTGACCACAACCCTAGCCCACTACTACCAAGATATAGTATAAGGAGTGTTAAATGTGTATTTTTAGGGTTTCAGAAACACCCGTTGCTTTATAAATAATCTTTAAACGTTTAATATAATTATCCAACTCTTTCCTAACCTAAAAGCAGTCCTTTACTACTTTGTTCATAGCTTTGAAGGCAGAAACAAAAGGAACTATCTGAATGGGACTTACATCCCCAAGAACGTCAAGTTCAAGAAGTTTGTCAGATTCTTTGAAAAGTTTTCTGCAAGCTATTCCTTCAAATATATCGCCCTGATAATAGACTCCCCCGGTTGTTCAGACCACAACCCTAGCCCACTACTACCAAGAAAGTATAAGGAGTGTTTAATGTGCTCCAAAAGAACGTGTATTTTTAGGGTTTTAGAAACACCCGTTGCTTTATAAATAATCTTTAAATGTTTAATATGTTTATCCAACTCTTTCCTAACCTTGAAAATTAGTCCTCTACTACTTTGTTATATCTTTGAAGGCAGAAACAAAAGGAACTATCTGAATGGGACTTATATCACCAAGAACGTCAAGTTCAAGAAGTTTGTCAGATTCTTTGAAAAGTTTTCTGCAAGCTATTCCTTCAAATATATCGCCCTGATAATTTTTTGAAACCAATTGATTAACATATCCTTGTAACAGGGTTGTCCCTCCTCTTTTAATGGAAGAGGATGACACTTATGTTGCTGAGCTTTATATCTTACAAGGATATGTTAATCATCTTTTTTGAGATAGCTTAGTTCCTATTCTAGGTAAGGAAAGAGCCTTGATTTGGCCTAAGAATTTCAAATTGGTTTCAAAAAATTATCAGGGCGATATATTTGAAGGAAATGCTTGCAGAAAACTTTTCAAAGAATCTGACAAACTTCTTGAACTTGACGTTCTTGGTTATGTAAGTCCCATTCAGATAGTTCCTTTTGTTTCTGCCTTCAAAGCTATGAACAAAGTAGTGGAGGACTCATTTTCAAGGTTAGGAAAGAGTTGGATAAACATATTAAACATTTAAAGATTATTTATAAAGCAACGGGTGTTTCTGAAACCCTAAAAATACACGATCTTTTGGAGCACATTTAACACTCCTTATACTTTCTTGGTAGTAGTGGGCTAGGGTTGTGGTCTGAACAACCAGGGGAGTCTATTCATAAGGAGTTTTTAAAATATTGGAGTCGACATAAAATAAACTACTAGTACTTTTTCCAAAAACTCTTAAAATGTAATTTAGGTTTCAGTATCTAGCAAAAAAAGTTGTAAAAAGTTCAACAAAACAAAATATCAGGTTTAGGTCACTTAGGGATATTAAAAAAAACTGCATTTTTATATTTCTTTAATATATATATACGTATACGTATTTATTTATGATTTGAATATTTTTTTTCTAAATAACCAATTATTTCGATTTTAAACAGAAAACAATAATATTAAAATAGATTAACTATTCTTTTGCATATAACCTTTATTGCCTATAAGTATACCTATTCACGCAAGTAATTTATTATATATTTATAAATAACCTAAGCTTTACTTAACTGCAAGCACGAAATTAAATTAAAGTAACATGCATTTATGACTGCAAAAAGCAAGATTGAATGCAAAAATATAAACTAATTTTTAAAGCGTACCAAATATAACAAAAAACAATATAACAAAATTTTTTAAAAACTTAATTGATTAGGTAATCAAATACAAAATAATATTTAAAATCTTACTTACCCCAACAAAAACCAAAATACTTAAAATAATACTAATTCAGATTCTGTATTGCAGAATAATCTCAAATTAAAAAAAAACGTTACATATGACGTTATGACGGCACTACCAGAGATAAAAGGGCACTACCTCTTGTAATGTAATATCTCTATAAAGTAGGGCACCACAATGATAGAAGTGTCTAGTAGACACTGTCTACAGACCATTCTTCACAAAGGCTTTCGATCCCGCACATGCGCTTTGGTTAATAGCTGATCTACTGTCAGAAGTCAAAAAGTTTTGTTATCTTCCTGGTGGGTATTTTGTTTGTTATCATTGCGCTATTTTACCTATCATTTAAATAAATATAAATTATTTAATGTTCAAAATTTATAAAATGTATCTACCCTTACATATATTATATCTCTATTGACCAATGGGGCGGGGGGGGGGGGCCATTGGGGCGGAGTCGGTTGGGTTGTGTTGTTGAGTTTGGGTTGGTTTCGCTCACTTTTGCTCATTTTAGTTGGTTAACAGTAGATCAGCTGATAAACCAAAGCGCATGTGCGGGATCGAAGACCTTTGTGCAGTATGGTCTGTAGACTCTAGTCCACAATGATATTTTACCAACTTGCCCATATCGAGGATTTATTGCCGAACCGTTAAACTTTAGCTGCTAAAGCATTATAATTATGGCGATAGATTTGAATATGTAGTGCCACTATAGTAGTGGTTATGTTAACTTAACACAAAGATGCCTAGTACAAAAAGTACTCTATCAAAAATTTATTTTGCAAATGATCTTATTATAATAGGTCTAGGGTTACCAGATTCTGTCAAAAAAAATCGGGACATTTTGTGTGCATTACCTTTAATTACAAAAATGACGCAATCAACAATAATTAAGTAACGTCAAACTTACAATTTGCATTGTATTATTATGTCAATTTTGTAATTAAGGTAAATTCATACAAAATGTCCCGATTTTTTTTAACAGAATCTGGTAACCCTAAATAGGTCTGTTCTTGATATTTTTAAAATATATTTATGTTGCAGAGTGCTACCAAAAACTCCTTGGTTATTATTGATGAATTAGGAAGAGGAACTTCGACATATGACGGATGTGGTATTGCTTGGTCAATTGCAGAGTAATATAATTTTTTTAATTAAATATTTTGTTATATTTACGATAGGTATCGTTCTAGATTTCTAGGAAAAGACATAAAATGCTTCTCATTATTTGCTACCCATTTCCATGAAATTACTCGGTTAGCAAACATGTATCCCTCCATAAATAATTTACATGTTACTGCTGTTACCACCAACGATTCTATAACACCCTTATACCAAATTAAGCAAGGAGAGTGTGATAAAAGTTATGGAATACATTGTGCCAGAATGGTTGGATTTCCCAATGATGTTATTGAGGTTTGCATTTTTTGTTTCTTTTAATTTTAGTGTTTAATGGTTTAATTTTATTTTAGTGGGCATTAGAACATCAAACGGAATTAGAACATCAAATGGGAACCAAATTTATTACTGATAAGGATCCTGTTGAAAAACGTAAAGTTATTGAGGTAAGTGTAGGGTATTACATCCTAACTTATATACAGGGTGTGCCAAACTGATTTGGTCAGGCTCTAGTTTCTAAAATGTGAGATATTTTGGGGAAACAAAAACTATTTTTAGATATATTTAAAAGAAATGTTTACAAAAAAGACCCTCTTAAATTCAGCCCTTCACTCTAAAATTTTAAATAACATTCTGTATATTTTATTAATTTTTTTTGTAGGATTCACAATTATCCATTGAATAATTTGTTCCGATTAAAAATCGGTTAATAAATAGCTGAGAAAATTAATTTTTAAAGTTTAAATTCAGTTATTTATAAACAAATCGGTAAATTACAAATTGGATTAAAATAGGTTAGTTCCAACCAGCAGTAATTTTCAGTAATATTACTGACACACATGCGTATTTGTATTTCATTATTTAAACACGATTTGGAAAAAGTAAGAATAAAGGAAAAAAATATTTAAAAAAAATATTTTGTATTTTTTGTCTATTTTATTCAAATTTAAATTAATTTAAAATACTTAAAATAATATTATGATTTATTAATGGGCATGTGTGTCAGTAATATAACTGCGGTTACTGGGTCCGAGGATGGCGCAGTGGGTTAGGCTACAAAGCTGTGCAATCTGCGTCTAACGGTACCGGGTTCGATTCCCGGTCACAGCCCTGGGTGTTGTGATTGTTTATTAAAACAAAAATACATATAATGTGCTGGCTAAATAGGCTGAAAAAGCCTAAAAGCCAATAAAACTTAAAAAAAAAAAAACTGCGGTTAGAACAAACCTAAAAACAAAAATTATATTTTAAACAAAAAACTATTAAGAACGATCTAACGTTAGACGCTACTAAGCTTTTGCTTTGTACCTTTTAAATTCTTGCTAGGCTATTATTTTTAATTTACCATAAATAAATAAAAAAAATACTAGTGCTAAAAAGTGTCACTTTTACGAACTAGTGCGTTAAAGTGTGTCATTTAGCAACTGAAGTGGCAATCAAAAAGTCACTGTTATAAGACGCTGTAACAAAAATATGCTTTTAACATTCTAAAGTATATTTTTGACATTTTTAAATATACTTTTAATATTCCAAAACATTCAATGCTAAAATTGTGTCATATAAGGAGCTGCAAACTACAAATTTTATTCATACACAAATTTACCTCTGAAGTGGTTGTCAAACAATATTGTTTGTAATTTTTAGTAAATAGAAAAAAATCAGCGGTTCTCAAATAATTAAATAAATACTTTTAAAACCAAAACCCTATAAACACAATGACTTAAATATGAAAGAATTGAACCTTCACCTCGCCAACTTTAAAATTTCGGTATTTTTCGGTATTTAATAACGACAGAGATGTTTCGACCCATTGGGTCTCATCAGTGTCGGGTAACTTGATGTTCTTATGATTATTACCAGTAGTGGGCCAAGAAAGTTTCTTAAAGAAACTAAGAAAATTAAATGATTAACTTAAATATGATGTAAATAGGACGTCATGTCAGGATACGCTTACGTAAGATATATAATATATTATATATATTATATGTCAGAATGACGGAGCCCCCTTTCTTATTTTTAGCATGGGGCAAATTAAGTGAATAGTGAAACAGCTCAGTTCACTCACAATCCAAATGAGTAAATTGTGGGTTGCCAACCTGAAATGATGGAACACATTTTGAAAAATTATTGTACATTATGGTACGCACCAAACGAATATTATGGAACAAATTATGGTACATTTTAGGACTTGTTTATTTAAAATTCAAACAACTAGGCACTTTAGAAAAAACAAACAACAAACGTTGGTAAAATGAATTAAGTACAAACAAAAAAATAAACTTTGGTAAAAAATATCTGCTTTAAAACTGATTTGGCAGATATGGCATAAGGCTTTATGAATTTTATCTAAAACAATAAATGTAAAGTTAGATTTGCATAATAGTCAAGAACACTTTACACTCTACAATCTTCCTAATACTAATAACCCAGATAATAATTATGACATCATTTAAGACATCAACGTGAAATCATTGCTGATTCATTCAGTGATGTCACTGAGGTACGCATATATGTTCCCCTTTTGATGAGCAACATGATATCCTTAATGAGTCACACGATGAATTCGTTGTGACATCAACGTGAAATCATTGCTGATTTATTCAGTGATGTCACTGTGGCACGCATAAGTGTTGCACTTTTGATGAGCAACGTGAGATCCTTAATGAGTCACACGATGAATTCATTATGAAATCAAAGGGATTTCATTAATGATTTTACTTAAGGGAATAAAAATGCTAAAATTAATTAAAATAAATATTTATTTTCTTAAATAAATTATAAAATATTTAAAACATGTTTTTAATAAAATTTAAAAAAATAACTTGCATCTGATTATAATTTTTATACATGTATATATATACCTAGCACGTGCTAAGTATAATTCATAAATTAATTAAAAAATATATTTAAAAATACGATAATTTTTAAGCCTTGGTAAGATTTATAACACTTATGGTATATATATACCATACAGAGCTGTTCCGAGTACAAGAAAAAGTACTCAAGTAAAAGTACAAAAAATCCAAAAGTACTCACGAGTACAAGTACAAAGTACAAAGTACTTTTTCCAAAAACTCTTAAAAATGTAATTTAGGTTTCAGTATCTAGCAAAAAAAGTTGTTAAAAGTTAAACATAACAAAATATCAGGTTTAGGTCACTTAGGGATATTTAAAAAAAACTGCATGTTTATATTTCTTTAATACACGTATTTATTTATGTTTTGAATATTTTTTTTCCAAATAACCAATTATTTCGATTTTAAACAGAAAAAAATAATATTAAAATAGTTTAACTATTCTTTTACATATAACCTTTATTACCTATAGGAATACCCAAAGATAATACACTCTATTTGAATATGGGTGTATTATCTTTGGGTATACCTATTCATGCAAGTAATTTATTATATATTTTATTTAATAAATATCCTAAACATTATTTAACTGCAAGCACGAAATTAAATTAAAGTAACATGCATTTATGACTGCAAAAAAAACAAGATTGAATGCAAAAATATAACCTAATTTTTTAATCCTACCAAAAACTTAATCGAGTAGGTAATCAAATACAAAATAATATTTAAAATCTTACTTACCCCAGTATAACAAAAACCAAAACACTTAAAATATTACTAATGCACATTCTGTATTGCAGAATAATCTCAAATTTCTAAAAAAAAAAATTACATATGACATTATGACGGCACTACCAGAGATAAAAAAGGGCACTACCTCTTGTAATATGTAATATCTCTATAAAGTAGGGCACCACAATGATATTTTACCAACTTGCCCATATCGAGGATTTATTCCGAATATTGCCGAACCGTTAAACTTTAGCTGCTAAAGCATTATAATTATGGCGATAAATTTGAATATGTAGTGCCACTATATTAGTGGTTATGTTAACTTAACACAAAGATGCCGAGTACAAAAAGTACTCCAGTACATTAAATGTACTTGAATACAACAAAAGTACTCGAGTACATCAAATGTACTCGAGTATAAAAAATGTACTCGAGTACAAAAAATGTACTCGAGTACAACCAATGTACTCGTGTCCATTTTAATGTAAGTAAATAAGTACAAGTACAAGAACTTTTTTTGAAATGTACTCTGGACGGAGTACCGAGTACATAAAAAGTACTTAAAGTACAATATTTGAGTACAAGTACTCGAGTACCGCACAGCTCTGATACCATGGCAACACTGTTATGCACTTGCATAGTTCAGAGAAAAACCTTAAGGTTATAAATTTAAATTATGGCACTATGACATCAAATGCATTTCTCTAAAATCACCTGGACCTCACCTGGAGCTCATCTAAATCATTGCTAAGCTCATCCTGAGTTAACTAGTTCTTGATGAGATCATTTGTGAAATTAATTTCACAAATGATCTCATCAAGAACTCAGGATGAGCTCAGCAATGATTCAGCTAATGAGCTCCAGGTGAGGTCCAGGTGATTTCACAGAAATGCATTTGATGTCATAGTGAGTTCACTGTGAGCTCACCCGATGATTATCACTGAGTGATTTTTTAATGAGTCATAAATGTTATCTGGGTAGCTAGGAACAATATTCAACATTTAATAATTAATTTTATTATAAAAATTTAAAATTTTAGTATTTTAAACCTAACCTTAGGTAACACTTTTTGACATACCTGGATTAAAAAAAACAAACGGCTTCGTAATGTCAAAAGGTCACATTTTAAAAAATGTTGGTGAAATATCATTTGAAAGTAAAGATGGGAATACCGGTTTACTTTTTGTCGTGGTTCCGATCGCGACGGTTCCAGAAAAATACCACGACAAAATACCGCGATTTAGTTACTGGCAATCAGCGTTGCCAGACCACGAAAACATTCTGTACTGATTTAGAATGACAAACGTACTGATTTGACTAAAAAGTTAGTGGGATTTTGTTAAAATTTTAGTTATATTTCTTTTATCTATTTAATGTTAGTACTCGTACTCGACGAACTTGACCCTCCGGCGGTCACGCAATTTAAAACATACCAATATATTTCTTAGCATTGACAATTTGCACCGTGATCGCTTGTTATTTTTTTGAAGCCTCAATGATCTAGCCGGTCTAGTGGTAGGTGTCAATAAAAAATGAATAGGGATTGTATTTTATATTAAAAATGGCAAACAACAGTGCCTTTATACATTAATGGACGAGATTATTTTACTTTAAGTTCATTTTTACGATGTTATACCTTGCAGGAATTATGACATTTTTTAGTTTAAGATTACTAAGAGTATACTTAAAAAGTACTGATTTCAGTACAAAAGCACTGGCAACCTCGCATTGTAAAAATTGCTGGACTGCTGAAGTCTTACAAAAATAAAATAAAATTAAATGAAAACGTATTTATTAACTCTTGAAATAATAAAAAACGCTGCTTTGTTAAGCAAATAATTATATTTTTAGATATGGGTGGCCACCGCTAACATCTTATAGACCATATTAATTTGCTTAGGTATATATACTTTGGTGTTTAGTGTTTAGTACACATAAAAAAATCTAACATAGTACCAAGAACAGCGCTGTCATTGAATGCATTAAAATTGAAGCAATCTAAATTGTTATTTGCTCAATTAATTACTATTAAACCAAAATAGGGAAACATTTTGCCTAAATGTCAAAGAATATAGTTTACATACTATAGTAACGTTATTAAATAAATCAAATTAGTATTTAATGCAATAACATTTTAATAATAATAATAATAATAATTCTTTATTGCCCAACAGAACAAGTTCCAATTACAGGACAAAATATATAAAAAATAAAATAAAATACACAAACTTAAATATACAGAAGCTAAATTATCATATTATAAATTAGGTGAATTATAGTTTTTTATCTATTTTGGTTTCATAATGACTTCATTAGACTTGTAGTGGAAACCCAGCCATGTGAAACATGGTTACAATTAATCAGATGGCGCTGCTGTAATTGGTCAAGTTTCTCAACGCGTCCTGCTAAATTTAATTTTTTCCAAACTAAAAAGAAGTAGAAAAAGGTGAAAAGTTCTTAAGTTTTGTGCTAAACGTATCTACTAAAGTGTTACAATGAAAAAAACTGCAAAAAGTTCTACAAAAGGTGCTAAAACATCGAATAGTGAATTGGACTCCCGCGTAAATGCAATTGACAGTAAATTAACTGATGGTATCAGCGCATTAAAAAGTGAATTAACACAACTAAAACAAAAAGGATCAAAAAGTGCCGTAAATAATTATGATTATCTGCAAAAAAGAATCGAAGACTTCGAGGCTGAGATGAAAAGTTGCTTCAACGAATTAAAACTTGCTATAGAAAAAAACAGCACTGAAAATGAATTATTTAAAGATAAGTATTTTAGAAATATTTACGGAAATAGCTTAATTTTCCATGGTATAAAAAATAACAGTGGAAAAGAAGATCTACAAAAGGAAATGTGTAATGTTATAGCAACGTATAATCTAATGGAAAATTTTACTCCGTCGAATATAAATTACTGCTATCGCATGAGCGCAAAAAATAATGTCATAAAAACTACGACAGTTGTCGTAAACTTTGTAAACAAATGGGTACGCGATTCTATATTTCAATTAAAAAGAAACCTTAAAGGATCCAAAATATTCATCGCAGAAATGCTAACAAAAGATAAATTGGACTTACTCACATTGGTTAAAGAAAAATTTGAAGCTAAGCAGTGCTGGACTTATAATGGTGAAGTGTTTGTTTTAAAGAATAACCAAAAAACTAAAATAACCTGTGAAACTGATGTGTACAAAATACTGGATATAGATACAGAAAATGAAAAGGTGTCTGTTAATTCCTCGGAGGACGAAAATGATGAAAGAGATGATTTAGAGGCTCAGTCTTCAGGCAACAGTAAATAAAAAAAATAGGCGGTAAATTTAAATATTTATTTTTTTGTAATGAATCATGAAATTTATAGAAAGTTATACAATCTTGCTTTAAATTTAAAGATTTATACTTTGTACAATATTATATAATTTAGTTTAAATTTCTTATTTAAAAAGGGAGGTTTTTTTTTGTTAATTTATAATTTATACACTTTAATATAGTTTAGTTTAAACTTTAAATGGCAGTAAACAAATTTACTTTTTTATTTTTGTTTTGTTTATAAAAATGTAATAAAACATTTAATATCTACTAAATTATGTAATGCATGCAGGGCGTTAGAGAGAATGACTTTGCATAGTAGCAACAAGTATTTTTTTTTAGTTATACATATACCTATAGTCTCAGATATATAGATATCTTATATGAATATTGACTGGACCGGAGAGGAGGGGGAGGGAGGATTAGACAATAAAAACATTATAACAGACATTCAAAATGCGGCAGATATTGTTAAAACTAATAGACTTTTAAATATTATACATTTCAATATAAGATCAATAAATAAAAATTTTGAAGAATTAATAACTATTTTAAATTGTTTAAATATAGACAACATAGATGTAATAATTTTATCAGAAACATGGCATATAAATGAAACTAAAGATTACAATTTAAAGGATTTTAACTTGTTTTATAATAACTCTAAATATAATCAAAACGATGGAACAGTTTTATATATTAAACATAAAATAAATGCAAACGTAGAACTAATAAAATTAAATGAGATACAATTTTTTAGAGTAACTTTTAATCTTGACGACTTATGCTTTGGTCTAACCGCAGGTTATAGACCATTCGGCTCGGATGTCAAAAAATTTGTCGTAGATCTGGACAACTATTTTCAACTTCATAAAAATAATTTAAGAGATGTGGAGATCTTTTGTGGAGATATCAACATAAATTTGTTAGATACCAAAGAGGAAATCGTAAGTAACTATATTAACAATTTTGCTGAATTAGGTATGTTTTCACAAATAAATCTTCCAACCAGGGTAAAACCAGGTGAAAAATCTAGTTTAATTGATCACTGTATAGTTGGATTTAAAAATAATAAAATGCATAAAAAACTTAATCTCAGTCCATATATATTGGAAACTGCCATAACCGATCACTATCCAATCTTTTTAAGTATTAGTAATTATCACATTAAAAAAAAACTGTCCAATCAAAATAAAACACACGAGTTTAAAAAAATTGACTATACATCACTCAATAACAAACTTAAAGATGAAGATTGGTTAGACACATTCCAAAATAAGGATTCAGAATCTGCATATACTAATTTTATATCAAAACTTAAGCATCACATTAACTCAAGTACAAGCATTGTTAAAATAAACAATATAAAAAATAAATTAAAGCCATGGATAACGAATGGTTTAATTACATCAATTAGGCAAAGGGACAAATTAAAAAAACAATTACTAAAAAAATATAGTACAGAGTTACACTCGCAATATAAATTATATAGAAATTATTTAAATAAACTAATTTACAGCACAAAAAATGAATTTTACAAAAATGAATTATGCAAAGCTAACAATAACTATAAAAAAATTTGGAATGTGATTGACCAAGTGTCAAACCGCGAAAAAGATAAAAAAATTGAAAATTTTAATATTGTTAATAATGAAGGAATTTATATAAAAAGTAATGTACAAAAGGCCAATTATTTTAATGATTTTTTTGCTAATATTGGTAATACAATGATAAACACAATAAACAAGAAAAAAAATAATTTACATATAAGACAAACTACTTTTACCTCATCGATGTTTCTAAATCCAATAACAGGTGACGAAGTTATCAAACATATACATAAATTAAAAAATAATTCATCTGCGGGCCCTGATGGTCTAAAAGCAAAAATACTAAAAAATATATGTGAATATATTTATAAACCCCTGTGTCATATTCTAAATCTCATTCTTGACACACAAAAGATACCCCTAGCCTTAAAAGAATCGGTTATAACCCCCATATACAAATCAAATGATAGAACATTAGCAACAAATTATAGACCAATTTCTGTTATTAGCTCTTTTGCAAAGGTTTTTGAACAATGTTTAAAGACCCGTCTCATGAATTACGTAGAAAATAAAAACATTTTAAGCGTCAAACAATTTGGTTTTAGAAAAAATATAAGTACTGAAAATGCTATTATTGAATTAACAAAGTCTATATTGGATAAATTAAACTCAAGTAAAAGTGTTCTAGCTGTATTCCTGGACTTAGCTAAAGCCTTTGATACAGTGGATCACAACATTTTAATAGACAGACTGAACAAAATTGGAATAAGAGGTGTTGCTTTAAATATATTTAAAAACTATTTGCTTAACCGAAACCAGCGTGTCAAAATTAAAAACTGTCTAAGTGAACCCATTACTGTTAACAGGGGTGTGCCCCAGGGCACAGTACTGGGGCCAATTTTATTCTTGATATACATCAATACCATTTATGATATATTAGACTTTTCAGGAAACATAATATCTTACGCAGATGATACAGTCATAATTTTTTCAGGTAATACATGGGGCGAAACGTTTTCTAAGGCTGAGAAAGGAATAAAATTAATTAAATATTGGCTTGATGGGAGTTTGCTTAGCCTGAATATAGATAAGACAACGTACATAACTTTTACTTTAACAGCAGCTCGTCAATTGGAAAATACAAACTTAAAAATCCATAACGAAAACTGCAATACACAAAATTGTATATGTCCAACTATTAAACGATCAGATAATACTAAATATCTTGGAGTTATGATTGATAAAAATTTGAAATGGAATGCACATGTGTCTTATCTACAGAACAGGCTGAGAAAAACCATAAAAACATTCTTTCAACTTAGAGATGTACTTAGTAAAAGTCTAATTTTAAGTGTATTTAAATCAATTATAGAATCTTTACTTCGCTATTGTATTTGTATATGGGGGGGCCTGCAGGATAACATAATCAAGAATCTGGAAGTTACTCTTAACTTGTTATTACGAATTATTTTAAAAAAACCCAGAACATATAGTACAAATTTAATGTTTAAAGAAAATAATTTACCAACAATTAGACAAATATTTGTATATCAAGTTATCCTGTGGACCCATAAAAATAAAACCATTCCAACATCAAACTATACACTAAAAACCAGATCTACCACAAATCAACATTTATCCATACCTTTATTTAAAAAAACAAATACTCAGAGATACTTATTTTACTTTGGGCCAAAGTTTTATAATGTTTTACCACCAGAACTAAAAACTATGAAAAGCCTTAAAATATTTAAAACACAGTTAAAATCTTTTATTATAAATAATTACATAAATTTTAAAAAAATCATAGACGAAGTTATAAAATAATACGAGTATATTATAATAATACTAATCCACAGGTCTGATTATATTTAAATAACTTATTCTCTTGACTCTCCGCATTGTCTACTCCCCTCCCCCTTGCCCCTGCTCTTTTCAACTATAATTTTTATTATTATTATCTGTTTGTTATTTTATTTGATTTAAGTCATTTATTTGTGATATGTATGTGTATTAATATAAAATATAAATCCGCACACAAATATAAAACATTTAGGCGGATTAAAACGACTGTATAAATATGTTTTGTAATAATGATTGAATAAATAAATGAATGAATAAATTATAACACCGCTTTTGGTTCATTAATGAGGTACTTTATTCCACCCAAAATTTTGATTTTATAGGTTGGCTACTGGTAAAATACAACGCTGTGTCTAGTCTCACGCTAGCGTGAACGCAATTTTATTCTTATTCTCACGCGGTGACGTCACTAATTATAATCCGTTTTTGTTCCCAGAGCGTTTAATATTTGACAACAAGCTAGATGGCTCCGATGATAGGGCGGGCGCTTGGCATGCGAGAGGTCCCGGGTTCGATTCCAAGAACTTTTTTTATTTTTTTATTTCATAAATTTGTTGTTTCTTTGTTAAACAGTGTTCGGTTGGGTTGGGTTGGTTAATTTGTTTTAGTTTTATCGTAACATAAATTTACCCATTTTAGTTGGGTTTTTTGCTCAATGGGGCGGGGGGGCCCAATGGGGCGGGGTCGGTTGGGTTGTGTTGTTGAGTTTGGGTTGGTTTGGCTGCAGTAAAAGAGTCTCGATTTTATTATTAGTAAATTTTATTACATTTGCATAATCAAATCAAATGACATAATCAAATAATAATCAAATCAAATGACACGACACCTAAAAAGTAAAATTAAATAAAATAATGCGTGAGAATAAAATTAAAATTATTTTGACTTTAGCGTGAGAATAAAAATTAAATTGCGTTCACGCTAGCGTGAGACTAGACACAGCGAAAATACAATTTTGAATACCTATAGGTTATAATATTTTTATGATTTGTTTTCTAGTACTTACGAGACTTTTCGTGCAATAAATTTTGTTTAACACCAAAGAAAATCCTTTTTTCTTCTTTAACAGCCGCTTATTGTAAATACTTATTGTAAATTAACGACGCCATAGCGAAAGAATGTGATAATGTTTGAAAGGTTAATGACCTTTCAAACTTCAAACTGAGATACCAACTATGTAAAGTAAAATTCGACCAAATTAAATATAAGGTATAAATTTAATTTTAATTTTAAAATTAATTTGTTTTATGAAATGTTTGCAAAATAGATAAAATAGCATAAAGAACTCATGTCATAAGACCTTTTGTCGCACTTGTCCATTATAAAACTAGCTCCTTCGTCGCTCGTTTTATAAATTGTCCGCGTGCGACAAAATGACGTCTTATGACATTATTTCTTTAATATACTATTATCTACGCCAGTGAGATAAGAACTTCTTATCCCACTCATTTTGAGTGAGATAAGAAGTTCATTAACACACGCGTTTTTCTCTGCTTTTAACCAATCAAATAAAAAAGTCAAAATGTCAAAATAACCCTAAATTAAGTCTTAGACAAAAATAATTACCGTTTATTTTTTCATTTAGAGGCGTAGATAAAAATTTGTACAATATACGTGTGATAACGCTTTATTAACGTACTTTTGCGATTGCTACGCACTCGTTGGGCAAATTTCGCATGCGTACGTTAATAAAGCTCTTATCCCACTTATATCGTAAATAACTATTATAGCATCGCTAACTACAGTATTACAATTCTGATAGATTATGTCACAAGAGTTACAATAGGTATCAAAGTATCTACACATTCTTTGAATAGGCGAATTGTAATGGCATTAATTCTAGGTGTTGAATAGGTAAAAGAAAGTTTACAATGGCTTCTAACAAATGGAACACGCAAATTCACCGATTCAAGTAAAAGCATAGAATCTATTTGGTTATGCAACAATCCATACAACAACTTCAAGTGCATTATTATTTTTTTTAGCTCCAAAGATGGCAAAGAAAACTAATTAAGAAGCTGTAGGTGATCAATACCTCTAAAAGGATAAATACCATCAAGTCTAAAAGAAACAAATTTCAAAAATTTTCTTTGTATTCCTTGTAGCTTTTTTGTAGATATCAAACTGTGGATTCCAAATAATACAGCAGTATTCAAGTTTAGATATAATAAATGCAAAGTAAATAGATTGAAATGTTTCAAAATTTTTAAAACCCTTTGTATTGCGAACTATAAACCCTAAAGTTTTCATAGACTTTGAGGTAATATTTCCAATGTGAGCCAAAAAGTAAACTTGTTATCAAATATTACACCCAAATCTCTGATAGTAGAGCATTTGTCTAAAGTAATTGAATTAAGTCTATAATTATAGTCAATAATGTGTAATTTTTTTAATGTGTATGATACAACCTTGCATTTGGAAATATTGAGATTAAGCTTATTGATTTTACACCAATTCTCGATATGACTTAGGTCAGATTGAAGTAGTATACAGTCATCGATACCATTGATCCTGGAAAATACTTTTAAATAATCAGCAAATAGTAGCTTTTCA